AACCAATTTTGTGTCCCAACCAATTTTGTGTCCCAACCAATTTTGTGTCCCAACCAATTTTGTGTCCCAACCAATTTCATATTCCAACCAATTTCGTGTCCAACCAATTTCATGACTAACCAATTTTTCAATTTTATGCCTTAACCAACTTCATTTCTATAGTAACGTGAAGTATATAAGTAGTTAAGGTTGAGTTGGTTTGTATTATAATTAACTTGATTATTTACTCTTTCGTAATAACTATGTTGGAGGTTTTTATTGGATACCCTACATATCATTATATTTTACACAACGAAGATCTAACAGAATGTATTTGTCAAAGTTATAGACTAAAATTAGTTGTGAAGTTTCTTAATTACTTTTGGATCCAATAATAAATACATAGATGCAGAACCTCAAAACTGACAAACTGCTAGAGAATTAGCTAATATGCTAAATCAATTTAAAAAATGATAAAACTAGATTATATCAACAAGCTAAAAATATTAAAGTTTAGACAACAATTTCTTAACATAAGATCAAGTTAAATAGACACAATTCGAATATTAGACCCATCTACAAGCATTTTTCAAAACTCCTTAAAATCAGGTAATAATGCTTGTTTGTTAATTTATTATAAAAAATTTGCACATAAATATTCTTTTTATATATATTATTCAAAGAGATATAAGCATACATAATATAAGAAATTCAGAAAATTGAATTATGTGATTATTATACAAGAATGTGAAATGTTATTATTATAATTTATATCTGTCATGGTGCTACCTGACCACTAATTCAAATTGGCGGGATTATTGAGTTTCATACAATATATGAACATTTTATGGAAACATATTTGGTGTATTTATATATTTATATTTAAGAACGAGTGAATTTGTATGTTTTTCTTTTAGTTAGGAGTAAAAATAAATAACCTTTGAATTTTAGCTTTTTTAAGCGAAAAAAAAGCTAAGCTTCCTCACTAAATTTTGGTTCCTTCATATACATATTTTTAACTCATAACTTAATTGCACTATAATTTATCTTCCAATATTAAACTTATACCTTAATTACATAATGATTCGGTCATATGAGATTTGACTTTAAATTAATTACATAAGTCTTATGCGCTTAATTGATTCTTGATTGATTTACGTAATTGCCTCGAATAATCAAGTGCCTGTGACTTGATCAGTAACTCACATATCTATGAATTCATTCTCCTTCTCTTTCTTTTTTTATTTTTATTTTATTTTTTTTTATTCAAATTCTGCTTTTATTAATAGATTACGATTTTATTATGATATTAATTATGCAGCTGAACAAAATGTTGTAATACAGCTACAAATTTGACGATTAAAAGATAATTATTCGAACCACAATTTTTTAATATAAAAAAACTACACATTCAGGTACATAAAGTAAATTATATGTTTCGTGATGTTATATATTTAAAAAGAAAAAACAAAAAACAAAAATATGAAAAATGACAGGTTTCAATTAAACTTTTAAAAAATCACATGGGTATATAATCCCCTAATATTCAATTATTTCGTTGTTTAAACAACGATTAAAATAAGTTTGGGAGTACTCAATCCAACTATGGCAATTTTCTTTAGTTATTTGTTTAAATGCATCACTGATTCAGCTTAAAATAGTCTCATTATTTTCAAGATGATGTCGTGCAACTAAATTTTTAACCTTTGAAAAGACCTTTTTGATGGGGTTTAGAAAGGAGGAGTATGCAGGTAAAAATAAAAGCTCATGCAGCGTGGTTGCAATAAAATTTTTAACTTGTTTTGCTTGGTGAATTTTTGCATTATCGACTATAAAAATTTTTCTGCGGTTTGGAGGAAGTGATTTAACAAGCTTACGTAAAAATTTTGTAAAAATAAATCCAGTTGTTAAACCTAGCCGCGGTGTAACTTTGACAATGCCATTCCCATCCATAGCTGCAATAATAGTGACATTTTTTCCACGTTGCTTAAGAACTTCCTTAATGGCACGTTGTCCACGAGGTGCATGTCCTCGTGAATATGATAAATGAAAATTAAAACCAGACTCATCAATATAAATAACATCATGATACAGATTAATTCTTTGCTGAGAAATATTTTGAACATATTCTTTTCTTTTAACAATTGTATTAGAAATATTTTGTCTTTTATTAACAAGTACTAACTTTTTTAGTGTAAACCCTACTTTGTTTTTTATATTTCGGCCTACAGTTGATCTACTCACCTATAAAAAATCATTCAAGTTAGTAAACCTGTTATATTGATCATATTCGCATAAGCAACTTTGATTTTTATAATAGTTTAAAGATATACTTGTAAATCAGAAAATCGTTCAAGAAGATTTTGATGCAATTCATTAATTGTGATACTTGGATTTATTTCCATTTGTGTTTTTAAAAAAATTCTATGCTTAGAATTTAGTTTGGATCTTCTGTCACTACTATGTGGTTTAAGAACAATTCGATCCTCTTTATCAAAGCGATCCACAATGCTTTTAACCATGGAAGGTGCAAGGCAAAGTATTGAGAAACTTGAGTGATAGATAAACATCTGTTATTAATCATATCAACTACTCGCTTTCGACGGTGTAGCGATCTAGTGTAGTGGTTAGGTTGTCACCCTCACCAAGTGGCAGGTCAAGAGTTCGAAACCTACCGACGGCGAAAATTTGAATAATTATCTGTGTTATGGCAACCGTCTTTTGACAATCAGTTGGGATAGAATACTTGTAACTACGGTCGCACCAGCATGACTGGCAGGTCTGGGGCACCCGTGCAACCTTGGGTTACACAGAGGAATGCAAACCGGCAATGGGCGGTGCAAACACTCGATAAGTCCCTAGATCATGTAAATCTGTAGAACTGGGAGGACAGAAGCCCATTTGGGAAAACCCGAGTGAAGAGGTAGCACAAATCTTCGATGGTACTACTGTAAAGGCTAGACCTGGGAAAAGGAAACTGAAGTGGAAGAACCGGACAGTGCACGATCGGTTTGTGGTAAAGCCGATTCACCAACCAGGCTGCCGGGTTAACTAGAGGAAAAGGTCATAGCAGAGTCGATGAACCAAGGACAGGTCACAGTCCTTCCGGGCCATTTGGATTGGTAGTCTAGGACTAAAGCGGAGGGAAACTAAAGTACTGGGGATATGCTATGAAGTGGGTACCGGGGTTTGGGTGAACTTTGCAAGGGCATAGCCTGTTGATAGGACCATAGAGTGGGTAGGTTGTTGACAGGGGGGCACCCTGAGCCTTGCTACTGGGTGACAGTACTC